ATAATGTTTCAAGGAAGGCGGAAACGCAGCCCTCTCTGTACACCGTGGTGCACCGGAAAGGAGATGCGCCTTCTCTTCTTTGATGCTCTCGGAGGGTGTACTTCCGGAGAGGCAAGTTTCCTTCATTATTCATCATTGCCATCACGTCTCATCACTCTCTCACCCTCTCACCCCGGACACCCGCGCCCAGAAAAATAACCCAAGTAGGTTTTGAAAGAGCGACCCGCAGAGCGAAAACTCAGCTACTGTCAATGAGCCGTAGCATCCTGATTCCAGATGGAATAAAAGTGATCGAGTCTTTGCAATCAGAACCCTTATCATCCGCAGGCAGAAAAATATTTACCGGGCGGCCCCCAGGAATTAACCAGATGCCGAGCTGCAAGGTCAATTCCTGTGTCAGGTATTCCCCCCTCCCTGTTTTGAATCGGTCACTCACTGACCCTGCAAAGTAGTGGTCCCCCGTGAACATCTAGCTCCCAGTGCCGGGTGCTTGATGGTAAATTCGGGGGACCGTGAAATGTCCCCAAGCCTATCGCTTTCCGGAACACAACCCTACACCTTTGACTTTCCCCCCTTCAAAGATATCCAGGCGAGCTACTTCCCGGTCTCCAGACTCGTCTTCTTTAGCATCTGTGGATGATATTATATCTGATCAAAGAGCGAGTGAGGTTTTGTGAAAGCGACACGCCCAATACACTCACGATCTCCTGTTCGGCCGCCAGGGGCCTGGGAGAGCTGAAGAAAATGTGCAAACAGCTTTAGGAAAGATAACTGTAGGACCTAAGAGCATAACTACCTGCCCGGCACCGACTCGCGTTTCTCAACTCTCCGCAACCTGATTCCTGTATTTCCTTCTGAAATAAAAAATACAGGTCGGATGTGGAGTGCCTAAGGGAGAAAACTGTTGGCTGTCGTCACTATACGATCATTTCCCCTAACCTCATGTTTAGTCTCTGCCGGTAAGGCTTGCAAACAGGTTTTGGTTGAGAGGAGACAAGAATGACTGGTCCGGCGTATATCACTGCAGAGTACTGCCGGAGATTAGTGCACGGAGAGTGCAGTTAACATATGTTTTGTTTTATTGTAGCCATTGCCTGGAAATGGAAATATAGTCAGATGAATAAAAAAAGGCTCTCTCTTTAGTATCATGCCCTTTACCTAGGGCCCTGGTGGTTAACTCTAAAGGATAAGCTGGGTGTCACCAGCCCAGAGAATTTCATATTAGTGAGATGCTTCTCATGTACGCTCCTATGTCTAACTATACCTCTTCACACAGGATCTTGATCACAAACACATCACGAAATACCAATTCCCATGAAAGAAACCGAGTATGATTCCGTGATTCTGACATCAAAACCCAAATCAACCCTGCGATGATTTGTTCTCCCAAGCGCAAGTGAAAATACAATCCAAGGACAACGCGAGGAAGCCCCTCAGATCCCCCCATTCGCCAAAGAAAACACCGAGATCATCAGGGCCGGTGAAGCCAAACCGTGTGATAATTCATGACCCCCCTACAACCACGACGACATAGCCTCGGTAAAACTATCCCGGAGTAGATGTGAGCCCCCGAGGTCACCCTCCCCTCACCCTTTTAGACGACCTCACGGTCAAAACCTTTCGCAATTCTCACCGAGGCGAGTGACGAAGGATGACAGATGAAAAGGAAAAAAGGAAGAAAAAAAAAGGGATCAGACAGCCCTGTGCGCCACGCATGATGATGCAATTGTATGACCCGTGCGGGGTTTCTCACTCACTTCACAACTCAGCTTGTTGCTCTCGTGAGAAAAGGAAGAATCCCCCCCCCCTTAAACTTCCATCCCGGCAGATACAAGGGTGGGACTCATTAACCAGAACGGAGGAGGCCATACGTTGCTAGTAGCCCACGAGTTAACTGTTCCATAACCCCCCTCGCCGGACCTTGGTGTCGTTCCCGAGTTCGGGGAGAAAGTTATAATCTACCTGGTTGGTCCCTGAGAGAAGGGTCATCGACAAATTTTCCAATCCCAGGGTCCGGGATACATCATGTGTGAACTCAATAACGAATAACGAATACCGTGCACCGTGTCCATGTGTCGTCCGACTTGCTGGGTGGTGGCTCGGTGAATTGGTTAAGGTTTTTTTTGCCGCGCCCTGATTGCTTTTCCACCACTGCCTTTCCTTCCTTTTGTTGTCTGTTTTCCTTTTTCTTTCTCTCTCTTTTTTTTTGTCTTTCCAGTTTTGCGGCGGGAGGTGATAGATGAAGTTTGTGGATGTGTCAGGTACTGTGCGGTAATTTACGGTTGCAAAGGTTTTTGATGAACCAAGGACCGATGAGGGATGAATGAGAGATGAGCGATGCGAAGCATGTGCTCTCTCCCCCCTTCCTAACCCTCTCTCCTCGGTGGGCATGGGCAGGTGAGAGGGGGGGGGCGCATCGCATCCTTGCTTCGGTTGGTGGGAAACTGCGAGATAGGAATTTTACATGTAATCCAATCATTAGGACCAGTACAGTACAGTACGGCAGGTCGCGGATATTCCGGTATTGGAGTACCGCAAGGCAGGGTTACAAGTGACTCAAGATCAGGAAAGTGCCCAAGTTGTTTTCCTCAAGAAGAATGACTTAAGTAAAGCAAGGCCAAAGGTATTACTGATCACTTCTCCGGTTGGCCCGGTTTGGAAGTAAGAGGCTCAACGATAGTATTCGAACTTGCTTTTTCTAAAAGGTGGTACTTGCACTCGAGTAGGGAAAACAGAAGGCGGCAAAAAAAAACAAGTAATTTATTAGTTACAAGAAAAGAAGTTAGTCCGGATTAAGCTAGCTATAGTAACAATGGAGTGAGACATAACAACCAACTGAGTGGAGAAAACGGTTAGAGGAGGGGTGGGCTTGTTGCAAGCGTTCTGCTTCAGTCCAATCTGCTCCCACTAATCCTTGCACTTCCTTCCCCTGTCCATCGCGGAAGGCGAATGGATGCACGGACCAACCAACGACCTTGTGTTGTTTCCACTCCGAATGACCTTGTGTTGGGTGCACCCCGGCATATATGTCAGGTGTACCCACAACACAGGCTTAAGAGGAGGGAAAGGCCACTCAGAGGTGCAGTGCCCTGACCCATCCCCATAGAAAGGGGATGAAGGTGGGGACGGGGCCAGAAAAAAAGAAAAAGAAGAAAGAAGAAAAAAAAGAAAACAGTTGGAATATCTGTCCTCTACCGACAACCCAGCCAACGTAGATAATACCAAATCTCAGGTATTGGGAATTCTGAGGAACTGGAGTCTGAGACTAGCGGGAAATTGTGAGAGTTTTGTACTTTGTGTCGTTCCATTGGGCCTGGGAAATGTGTCTGATTGCGTTTGATATGGGCCATTCCCACCTGGTGGCCCTCATACTGTATTCAGCCAACCGCCGTCAACCTCCCAGATGTGATATCGAAAATTTCGGTCTCTTTCTTCTCCCTCCGCTCACTTTGATGGTCGTCGATGCTTGAAAAGCTGAGAGATAATCGAACGTCATACTAGTAAGACTACTGCACTCGTGTTTCTCTCCCATCACAAATTCGGTACTGTTGTGGTAGCGTAAGTACCCCCGGTACTTGTACAATACGTGGCCCCCGCCCATAGAAAGAGGAAGGTTGTCAGTAGGGGCACTCAGCCCCGTGGGTTGAGAAATGTTTATCCAAGGTGTTCGAGTTGAAGGACTTTGGTGTGTGTAACGGCTTTTCGCATATTAATCATGTAGACCCACTCGAAACTTAGAACTCGAAAAACGCTTTTTCCACCCCGGAGGCCGAATGCCGCTCTAGCACTCGTGGTGACTGGATGGTGGAAAGAAACGGCAGTACAAATTCCACAGAGCCGTAGATACCTCATAGTGTCTTAGAGGGTTGACTATTCTGCCTTTCGAGCGTCATTAGTTGGAAATAATCTTCCTGCTAGCCAGCGATCGAGGGAGGGAATCTCCGAAGATTTCATGAGGTCCTAGCTAAATTGTTAATACCGGTACTTGTATGATACTGTACGGCTACGCTTATGCAAGGGATAGGCAAAGTAAGGGGGTAGGAGTGGGGATTGCTCTTCTATTATGAGCAGAGGTGGGCACTACCACACCGCTAAAGTGTTAGTACAGACCACTAACCCATAATCTTTTGAAATGCGAAACAACCCCCTCTCCTCTTCCTCCCTCCTCATGTGTTCCTTCGTCGAATGGGAAAAACGGCGAGGTGGGCCCTTTACGACATCTTATCGTTGGGTTTGCCGGTGTAAGCGCTCAATTGGTTAGTAAGGCTGCGGGATAGGTGCCGGAGGAGTCCGAGCGGAACAAGCAGGAAATCAGCGCGTTGGATGACTTGGGCGGTTGTTCCGCTCACGTTTCTATGCATATGCACGGCTACCTACTCGAGCAGTTACTTGGCGCTTTGATTGTATGATGGCCTCGTGGAGGGTTGTTTCTTTTTTTTTGTTAGTAAACTCTCACCCCCCGGCGGCGTCGTTGAATCGGGGGGTATCGGTCCTAATAATAATAGTTGCACTAGTATCAGAGAAACACCTCCCGAGGTAAAGCTCAAAGGTGGGAAAAAACGTAAAAGTCCAAATTTATTCCATAGTCATCCATTTAAAACTGTACTGTACACTATTTCTAAGGTAAAAAAAGGCAAGGCGTTGCAAATATGTAAAATCGCGGAAGCCATAAAAGATGAGAAAGAGAAAAAGAAAAAGAAAGAAATGACAAAATCCTATTTAACGCGCCTTTGGAAAACAGCTTTCAGAGGAGAAAAAAGGAAGCAAGAAAGAAAAAGTGAAAATCGACCTAGAAGATAAATCATTTATAATAGGGGGGGGTGAGTGAGAATTGAACAAAAAAAAAAAAAATTTCAAAGAGAGCACACAGGGTTGTGATAAGGTAAGCAGTTGTGATAAAGGTAAGCAGTTGTGCCTCTGTCAGAAATGACTTGTCTGTCCTAACAACTGTTCTATGAGACCCCGCGCGAAAAATCGAAGCCAACAAAAAACGGACCATTTTAGAGCAATGTATGAGAAGCCAACAGTTTAACGGGGAAGAAAAAGGAAATACAGCAAGTCAAAAGTATGCAAATGAGATGTGCTCCTCCGGGAGAGGAAGCGAGTGACGGAACCAGTAGTTGGTTGCTAGCCCTCAAGGATACGGCAGGCCTCGCTGAGACTGCCAGAGACCGCATGAACCTAAGGTAAAAAAATGTGAGCGAGTGATCGGCTAAGAGATGTAGAGAGCTAGGGGAGGAAAAAAGAGAAAGTTCTAAGGTAAACCTTACGTTCTTGTTATCAAATGGTTCAAAGTGGTTCCCCGGGATGTCGATAACACGAACGCGGGAACCAACAAGCTCCTCCCATCCTGCAGTAGCTGCCGAAGGGTCGCTTCTGTCCTCTAACCAAGCGTGAGGCTGGCAGTTCAGGCCACGAGTAGAGAATCCCTCGCGCGATCTTAAGAGGATGAGCTTGGGGTTTTTGTCTGACGGCGTCGGATTGTAGTTGACGAGGTTACGGGTGTTGGCTTCAAACTGAGATTTGATGAGTTGCTCAATCTTCTGGCGAGACCCGGGGCCAGATCGTGCCGACTTGGATACAGCGGCGATAACCTCGGAGGGAAGTCCTTTGTGGTTGATGGGGCACGGTGAATCAATCAGGACGACTCCCATTACTTTTTTGCCGGCTTGAAGCAATTGCCGGCCAGCTTCGAACGCGACAACTCCTCCGTATGACCAACCTGAATGAAGTCAGTTCTGATAGTAAGATACTAAGCGCAGGCCAGGGAATGGTAGTCACTTGCCACCAAGGATATATGGCTCTGATGTAGTCTGCTGAATGTAGGAGTTGTATGCGGTTGCCGTCTCAACCAGTCCACCAGTCCACGGCTCCTGAGTAAAGAAGCGAGGGTTGTAGAATCCCCAAACGGAACGGTTGAGAGAAGAAAGGCGTCCATAATAGTTGCAGAGACCGCTTCCGTCATGAATGAGAAATAAAGAGCTATTGGCGCCTTCCCAGCGCTGAAGGGAGACCGGGAGCGATGTCATCTGAAGCATTTTCGCTAGCTGATTATTCTCATCGGTTACGGGCTCTGACTGGTGAGTGTTTGTAATAGAAGCAGCAGTTGGGGTATTGGATGGACGTGCACTCTTGCTAGTAATAAGAACTTCGAGTTCTTGGACTGTGCGGCATTCGGCAAAAGTATCGGGAGAGATGTCGAGACCAATGCTCGTCTTGAGCGAGTGTAGAACCTCAATGGAAGTCAAGGAATCTAAGCCAAGCGACTCGAGCTCGGTGTCGGGCTGCATGTCGCTTGCGTTGACACCCAGAATAGTTTCCAAAAATCCCTTAATATCCAATGCTGCTTGCTCCGGGGGTGGAGTCATGACATCTGGTGCTGGACATTGATTTTCCCTAAGAGTAGTAGGCTTTTCTACTGGGCGGGAAAGGGTAGGGAGGTTGCTGCGGATGGCATCCTCGAGATCCTGAACGGTATGGCATGCAGCAAGCTCAGAAGATCCTATCTTGAGAGAACTGAACGTAGATTTCAGCTTATCGGCAATCTCAAAGATCATCAAGGAGTCAACTCCCAGGGACTCCATCTCAGTGCTAGAGGTAATGCTGTGGATCGGGACACCGCAGGTCGAGGCCACAACCTTTGCCACCTGATCCACGATATCCATTGGTGGAGGAGAGGGTTCACGCGAGACTGGTGTAAGAGGTCTCTGAGTGGGTGGCAGAGTAGCAGGGATGGGTTTATTTTGTATCTTCTTTCCCGTCGCAGCAGCCAATAGGCTTCTAAATTTGGCAAGTTTTAATTTCTTGAAATGCATTCCCTTGATAGACCCGACAATCTTCCCAGCAGAGCTCATGGCATAGGCGTCTGCCACAAAGGTAGCCTCCTTTGGAAAGTAGACAAGGTTGCAGTAGACGCCGAATGTATCATCGTAGTCAATCTCGTCATAAAGAATCTTCGCCTGACCGACCTCATTGCAAATACAGGCGTCATCGGCGGTGACTCCACTGTTAGCGATAAAGCCTGCAGCATGGAGAAGAGTATCCATGAAGACCGGGTGCACGGCGTATTTGCCCTTCTTGTATCCAGCTGGCATTTTCACTACAGCAAACCCCTCAGTCCCGGTCTGATCGATGGTAATTGTGCGAACAGTCTGGTAAGGCTTCGAATAGGAAACGACGCGGGGGAAGATGACCTCGTACAGCATTCGGGTATGGATAGTCTCAGGTCCTTCGCAGCCATTGGAATAGAAGATTTTAACCTTATTGAGCTCAAGCTTGAGTGCTTTGCGACGGAATTTGTGCTCAATGCTGACCTTGGGAGTCTGTTTAATCTCACCGGAGCAATGGACTCTGCCAGTAGATAATTCGCCGCTATATGAGGAAACCTCAAAGGCGCTGTCGCCAGTCAGGCTATCGACACTCAATGTGACGCGTACCATTTTGTCCGACCCATCCTCATAAACCAGTGGGTGAGAGTACCTAACTTTGCCTAAGGTATGTAAGCAAGCAGCGTTTTCTTGCACTCCAAAGCGTGCAGAGGCCATGGCGAGCTCGTGATAGACGGATGCTGGGCATAAAGAAGATCCGCCAACATTGTGACCACTGATGAAAGATGCGAGGTTAGAAATCGGAGTCTCAAAGATGCCTGGAACTCCCTCTGATGGTCGCTGCAGACAAGCAGCAATCATTGAGTAGCCAGTGTTGATAACGGTATTCGTTGGCGTAGCCTTCGCTTTAGCTGGCTCAATAGCAGTTTCTTCGTAGCCGACCCAATATTTGTTGTCCGAGAAAGGGTATGATGGGAGGTTGATAGCCTTGCCAGATGTGCCGGCAAACACTTCACGCCATTTGGCGGGGAAGCCTCCCAAGAAAAGAGTCGTGAGTGACTCTGAAAGAGTTACCCATGGATCCTTGGTTTTGTGCATTGATGGTATGAAGCTACCGGCGGTGCTACCGAGCGTAGATCTGATCATAGGTAGGGAGATTGGGTGAGGACCAATTTCAATATACCGCACGGTACCGGAGAAGCCTGGAAGACTAACAATGTCTTGAATTTCCTCGGCGAAACGAACAGGCTGTCGTGCGTGCTTAGCAAAGTACTCAGAACCAATATCCTGTGGACCGATGGAACGCCCAAACACGTTGGATCCCGTGACTATCTTCGGTGGGTTGATTCTGACAGTGGCCACAAGCGCGGTGAGTGGTTCTCGAATGGGTTCCATGGCTGCCGAGTGATAACCAAATGGGACGTCGAGTTTGACATTCTTGGCAATAGCGTTGTCTTTGAGATATGCGCGGAAGGTATCCAGTTCCTGGACAGGGCCAGCAACAACACAATCGGCAGTGCTGTTTCGACAGGCTATGACCAGATTTGGGGTATCAGAGCGAGACCTTAATATCTCCTCAACTTTCTCTGGCGGCGCATTCACAGCCAACATGCCACTGGCTTTAAACTCGCAATTATTGGCCATCATACGGGCGCGACCGGCAACAATCTTCAAGGCATCCTCGAAGCTGAGCACCTCAGATATGGCCAGAGCGGCATATTCCCCGAGACTGGACACAGCGTATTAGCAGATAAGCAGATCAAGTATTTTTAAAAAATGTTTGTACCTGTGGCCAAGGACTGCGTCGGGCTGAACACCCATAGAGGCCCAGAGTTTCGCGAGAGCATACTCCAACACAAAGATAGAGCATTGGAAAGCCTCTACTTTCTGCTTCTCAGACAAGGTAATTTTCTCGCCCTCCGCGGCATTCATCACCTGTAGCACTCCAACAAATCCAAGGGAAACAAGCGAGTAGTGAGCACATTCCACAATCTCACGGAAGAGGGGGGAAGACTCAATGAGCCCGCGGCCCATTCCCAAGTATTGACTACCCTGGCCAGAGAAAACAAACACTGTCTTAGAGGTACCCTTCTCGGGGGTGACCTGGGTGGGGGTTGCCTTCCCGAGTTGTGAGATAAGATCATCAAACGAATTTGCGGTAACTGCGATACGGTGATTGAACGGTTGGCGACGAGCAGTTGAGGTATAACACACATCCTCGAGGGAAAGGGTATCGGATTTCTCGTTCAGGTAGTTGAGATATTTCACGCGTAGCGACTCGAGGGCGCTCTTCGTCTTGGCCGTTACTGTGAACGGGTAGGACTTGCGAGAGAGGGGAATCTTGGCTTCCGGTCTTGCAGGTGCTTCCTCCAAAAGAAGTATCCCATTTGACCCTGCTGCACCGAAGTTGTTGAGCACAGCAAGACGTTGTGCCCCCTCCTTGTGAGGTTTCCATAGCAAATTTCTGCGCGCAATTTGAACTCCGTCCTGGCCCAATGGGGCGATTCTTGGGTTGAGATTTTTGAGAGACACCTGTTTGGGAATTGTGCTATTGCGTAACATCAACAACAATTTAGCAAGACCGGCAGATCCAGAAGCTGCTTCCAAGTGGCCAATGTTGGCTTTGACTGAAGTAATATGGAGGGGCCTGTCCGGGGTTCTGTTTTTGGCGAAGGTTCCCCTAAGACTCTCCAACTCGATCGGATCACCTGCTTGCGTTCCAGTGCCATGTGCCTCGATAACACTGACATCCAGAGGGTCAATGCCCGTCTCCTCCAACAGTCGCTTGAACAATCTCTGTTGTGTTGCGGCGTGGGGATGAGTGATTGAGTGTGCTTCACCACTTTGGTTAACTTGAACGCCTCGAATCACACCAAGAATTTGATCGTTCTCCGCGATGGCATCGGATAGCCGCTTCAAAACGAACATGCCACAACCTTCCGACCTGCAATAGCCGTCGGCAGACTCGTCAAAAGCCTTGCATTGACCGGTAGGACTAAGAAAGTGAGCTCGATCAAGGCCAAGATACATCTGCGTTGCACAAAAAAAAATGATTAGACCTCTTATTGTAGATTTTTCCCAAAAGGGTAAGGGGTGGGACTGGTTGGGAGGGGATACATCTGGACTTGTGATCACGTTGACACCCCCAGCTACGGCAGCATTACAATCGCCGTTCTCTAAAGCTCGGCATGCCTGGTAGATGGCGACTAGGGAAGAGGAGCAGGCAGTGTCAATGACGATAGATGGTCCAGCTAATTTCAGTGCATAAGAGATTCTTCCACTAAGGAATGCCCTAAGAGTGCCAGTGCTGTAGTATACGTCGATTTCATTGCGCAGGTTCTCAACGTAGTCGCCGGTTGCAACACCAACATAACATCCAAACGTTTCACGGGAGAAGGTGTCCGTGGAATCAGCAACATACCCTGCATTTTCGATGGCTGAATACGCCGTCTGCAGCAGGACGCGCTGTTGAGGGTCTAGGGATTTTGCCTCACGGGGGGAGATATTGAAAAAATTATTATCGAAGCTACCGGGATTTGAAATAAAGTTACCAAATTTGGTTCCCATGGACCGTTTCGGCTTATTTGAATTGCCCGACGGGTCGTAAAACTGGGAAACGTCAAACCGATCGGAAGGAATCTTTTGGAATTTTTTTCGAATCAGCGAATAATTTTCGGGAATCTTCAAATGATATTAAAACGATGGGGCTGGGTTGGTTACCTCTGATACAGTGTTGAGCCCCTCTTCTAGTAATTTCCATAACTCATTGGGGTCTGCCGCGCCTGGCATATTGACCCCCATTCCAACTATTGCGATGCCGTCCTCCGGCTTGAACCTAAGAGGTTTCTTGTTGGCGAAAGTAATGGCGGCGTCCGAAGTGTGAGACAAGTCGAGAAGACTTATTCTTGGGTGGGGTGGCTTCTGAGCCTGAAATACAGACCCGGTTCCTGGGCCAAAGTTGACCACAATGACCCGCTCGTCATCCGACTGCTCTGCCCTTGCAGTGGCAGCAGCTACCATAGCCCCCACAGTCTTGTCCCAATTGACACAGTTAATGAGAACCTGGTCAACTACGATTTCGAGAAGCGATTTGTCAGAACAAGTGCTGGGGGAAAGAAGCTCTCCATCTGCCGTTGACCGCATAGGGATAGTGGTCTGTGATAGAGAGGGGAACTTGATGTTTCTCCTCCGCAGGTCGTTCATTAGTTGGCTTTTGACGTTTTTCAGGGTTTCGCCACCGTGGTAGAGGGTATGAACGCTTGTGAAACGCGAGCTGCATGTGCCAGCAACCTCTTCAACTTGGAACCGAGCCAGTAGGTCGCCACGCCCGGAGATAGTTACAACTTTCTCGGCAGTAACCGCTGTGAGATGCAGGGGAATACTAGTCTACGGTGCACACTCAGTAAAATTGCCACTACCATATAATAGACCAGAGGGATTTTGGACTAACCTGTTTTGTGTTGAACGCTTCTATTCGATCTAGTGCAGTCTCTCTGGTCCACCCAAAGACAACTAGTCCCCATGAGAGGGGTTCCTTCTCTTCCGCTACAGATTCTGCTATCCGAAAGAGCTCGCATCTATACCCAATCCATAGTGCCAGCTTGAATGTTTCCACACCATTTGAAAGAAAATTGACAACTGTAGGTGACGATGCGACCACCGCTGCTGGTAGTGATCCCGAGCAGAAACCAGAGACCTCTAAGAATTTTGAAGGTAGGTTTTCAAATACAAGGTCTGGTGTATTTTCGACATATGAGAGGTAGCGTAGCAATTGAAACAGGCATAATGTTGTACCTTGTATAATAGCGTTCGTTTGATATTTCTCTTTCGGCTCGAGGAGGCTCTTGGGGGTGGGGAAATCGGAAATATTGACGCCCGATTTTGACCTTTCCTCAGCAGTCAAGCTGGAGAGCTCCTCGCCAAATGCGTGATAAACCGCATCCAGGAAAATTGATCCAGTTGGTGAGCTAGAATCTTTGGCTGCCACTGCTTGGGCTTTGGGCGAAAAGATTGAAAGAGAGCCCTGGCCCGAGAAGACTGGAATACTCGTATTCTTCATTGCTGTAAGGTAAAAAAAAATGATTCCTTAAAGAATATAGCGCAGTGGTTCTTCGCTCAGTGAAGAGAAAAGAAAAGGTGTAAAAGGCAGAAATGAAGGGAGATATGAAAGACTAATTTGTATTGTCGATAGGGATACTCTAGTGTGATTAATTAAGTGCCCCGTGAGGGATGTGCACGATTGGGGGCGTGCTAGGACGTTCTTGGTGTGTTACCAAGGAGTGTGCTTCAAGATCAGATGCACAACCGGAGGATGTACCGCGAGTGCTGAATACCGGGGCGGGCTTTTTATCAAGTATGGGGCGATATGTGGAAAATTTCGTAATGTGCCGTACGAGGAATGTTTTATTTCTGAGACTTGTACACAAGACTTAAAGCGTAGACTTATTAATGAAACCAAGCTCCCATGGGTAGTGGGGGAGCTCTCTAAGTACTTCTATCGAGATTACCCCAAATAGCTTGAGTGTCAGAGAGGCCGCTCATTCCTAGTGCCCGTCCTAGTCATAGCATCAAACGCAGTGACACCATACCTAGACGGGTGTGGAAAATATTAGTCTTCCCGGGAAGGAAGAGAAATTGTCTGGCGATATGGATTAGCGCTATCAATGGGTTACTCCGAGCTCGGTGCAGTACACTTAACACCGAGAAGGTAAACAAAAACATTCCCCACAATCATCGCGTGTTGTGGATGAGTTGCCCTAGTACTCTTTACTCTCTTTACCTTCTCATTTAGACATGGACTAGCACTCGCAACCAAGAATCTTTAGGGTGCTCAACTATAATTGCACCAAAACCGCTATTAGGGGAAGATTAACGATATGTAAATAAATTCAAGGAAGCGTACGAAATATCGTAGTGATTCAGCACCATTGCGCCAGGTCCCAAGGTGAGGCCCCGCTAATCTTGGCATTGTAGGAGAGATCCGAGTAAGCTCAGGGTCCTAGATCTGATTTTCCTTACGGTCCCTTGGGTTACAAAAAAAGTATCCATGTGGTAGTTTTGCATGACCCAGGCCAGCCAGACCCGGTTGCTCGGTATTCGGTAGGTGCTGAAGCAAGCAGTTACTAAATAAGCCTCTTCTATATCGATAGACCTGACAAACTTGACCAGCAAGCCAAAGAAATTCTCAATTTTTCCTGGAAAGGGGGACTCCATGCGAAAAGCACAAAGCATAATTGAACCTCAGCTAGGCTCACGTGAGTTTGTTTCGTAGTTATAACCAATAAAATTTCCATAAAAAGCACCACGAATACAGAAAACAACATAGAACCGCCATTACCCAATTGCATGCTCCAGACCCATATTCCGATTATGATAAATTCCTTAGCTGCTTTGGTACAAAACCCCCGCAAAATTCCATTACCGGTATACCGAAAACCCGAGCCCATTTTTTCTCACCGCTAACTTCCCGGAACACATAGCAGCTGAGATGACGATTGGGTGTAGCAAGAAAAGAACTCGTAGTTTCCTCCGCAGGAACTTTATCGGAGATCCTGCAAAGCCCGGGTTTGTGCATTGGCTGTACAATTACCTCGAATATTGCGGGGAGGCTGGAGAACTTGTTCCCGAGTTTGCGCTTTTTTTTTAATCAATTTGTTTCTCTGCCGCCGTAGTCGCAAAGGTGTCCGCTCCATTCCGCTGGGTTTTCCAGGGTGTAGCCAGGGAGAAACTCGTAGTTTTCTCCGCTGGACCTTTATCGGGGATTTTGCAAAGTCCGTGTTTGTGGATGGTTGTACAATTATCCTCGAACATTGGGGGGAGATCAGAGAATTCCCATATTTGCGCTTTTTTCAATCAATTTGCTTCTCCTCTGCAGGGACCGCAAAGATGTCCGCCCCGCTCGACCATATGTCAGTCCCCCGGAAGATCGCATGTTCATATCCGGTGGAGAGGAAAAGAACTGGATAGTGTCCGGGGCAGCCTGATGCCACGGGTCGTGTTCCCGGCCCGCACGAGCCCTGCCTGTATGTGTCTCTCCAACTTGCGTCCAAACAACCTTCCACCATGGCAATGGTTGCCTTTGGCGATCCCACCCGGAAAACCTATCCACATTATCCATGAGGTGATGTCGGGTCCTGTTGGAAGAGCTCATTAGCAGCTTCCTCTCAGACTATTTTTGCGAATGCATACGTACGCGTAAGCGTCATGGAGGTATTCCATCTAGATCAAATAAGGCGATGTATAGTAGAAAATTCGTCGAGTGCCCGGAAGGAAGGGTCGGGGGCAGATCGCAGTGATCAAATACTTCATAAAGTTTGGAGCAGTATCCATTAGATAACGGTATTCTTGATACCCCCGCTCCCATATTGGCAGCCCCGAAAAGATATCGGAATTACCAGTACCACGGCTTGTATGTGAGGGACCGCCTGTGCTTTACCATGTTCCCTGATCGCCTCTGCGGTATGCTTTTCGGGGGGGCAGAAATTCATAAATCGTAGTGAAAACCCTAACCCTGATGTAACCCGGGGTAGTGCACGCTTGCCCTGCATCCCTCTCCTGTCAGACGCGCAAGGGAAGATCGCTGTGACTGATAGATTAGAGGTCAACCTTATCTATACGGCAGTTCGGTAGGCAGTGCAGTGCAATATCTACTCCGGTCGAATAGTAGCATGTGGATGGGTTCTGAGACGTAGCGACACCGGAGATATCCCCTCTCAGCTGCAATAGTATTGATCGCAACCCGGAATATTTATTGCTCTCCGAAACACGAAGTACGAGCACTTGAGTGTTTCGAAACTCCGACAATGCCAAGACCCTGCCGGATACCTTAGCACCCAGTGCCAGATTGCGTACGTTAGCTAACGCCCTTTCTCGGGAAAGAGATTATTACTATTTACCTGGGTCCTCTTCGGAGTCGGGGTGGTGCTGCGGCTTTGTCTACTACGATCCGGAAGCTTTGGGAAGCACTTGTGTGATATTTCCTGGCCGTCTTCTGTTAGTTTCTGCCCGGAGAAGTTGAGCTCTATGCAGTAAAAACATGGTCCTCCTTGTCCACCAGAGACTTCATATATCCTGTAAACTACTTCATCCAGTGATTACCCAATTTTGAATATTTTGCTTTCTGGAACCAGCCGAGTCCTTCCCAACACCCATTAGGTCAATGGACAACCTCTATTTGCGCAACGGGAATTTGAAAATGGTCTCCTCCCCTTTGTTTCGCCGTCCCCGTTTCTCTCTTCTCGAGCGGCTCCCTACAGACCAGGACGATAATATCCGCACATACCCCGAGCTTCTTGCTTTTAACGCGAAGTATAATCCCTCCCACATCTTTTGTCTCCAAGGGGTGAAAGATCATAATGCGCCACCAGTTCCAATCACATTTGCCCAAGCACAGCTATCAGTAGAGCGCTGTATGGGATGGCTTTCCAAAAGCGTAGAGGGTATCCATTCGCCACGGGAGGTTGACGGCAAGGTAGGAAAGGCCGCCGCCGTTGGGATACTAATGGGAAGTGATGTTGGAGTAATAATATATATGATGGCTCTGCTCTCCTTGGGTGTTCCGGTGGGTAATTGCTCAACAGAATAGCGAGAATAACTGCTGACTGCGTATTCTCAAGGTTGTATTACTTTCTGCTCGTTTGACTCCTGTTGCAATTGCACATCTTCTCAAGTCGACATTTGCTGGATCTGTAATTGTGTCACAACGTTGCCAGCGTGCCGTATTGGAGGCAGTTGCATCCTACGGCAGCGCAGAAAAAGTACCAGATATATATGAACCAATTTCGTATGATCGCTTTTTGGAAGATGAGGGATGGGGTTCCCTTGAGATACCACCGGCATATGATATAGTGGAAGAGATGGACCGTAACGTGTTGATACTGCACTCTTCTGGTACAACTGGCTTACCAAAGCCAATATACCACCCCCACAAATATATGTTGGGGTACGCTGCTTGTCACCTTTTTGAGGAAAATGACAGGGTCGATGGTGTTAATTGCTCGACTTTGCCGTTGTTTCATGTGAGCATTCGCGTTTTCTGGTGCCGGAATGGAATATGGTTCTTACATTCTTTCTTAGGGATTCGGGTTGCTCTCGCCATCGCTCGCGCTTTCCGTGGGAAAGCCTTTCTGTATACCCCCGGCGAGCATAATTCCTACTGCGACATCTACTTTGTCGCTACTTCGCCTCTCGAATGCTCGCTCCTTGATGTCGGTTCCCTCAATCCTTGAAGATCTCCTTTATCTTCCGCAATCAGAGGGTATTAGTGCCCTCCGCGCCCTCGATTTTGTTGTAGTGGGCGGTGGGCCTATTAAATCCTCAGTGGGGGCAGCGCTTGTTGAGGCAGGTGTCAAATTACTCAACCATATGGGAGCCACCGAGATCGGAGCAATAGCGCCAATATTTCTCCCTGGTCCTGACTACGATTGGCGGTACCTCCTCTTGCGAAAAGATATCGGTTTACGCCTAGAAGATCCCGGTGACGGGGGCGGCCTTTTCAAGCTTATAGGGAGACCGTTCGGGTGGAGTGAGGAGTTTCCGGTGCAAGATCTACTCCAATGCAATCCTCACGCACCAGACAGTCAATTCAAGATTCTCGGTAGAGCAGATGATTTGATTGTCCTAGCCACCGGAGAGAAAGTGCTCCCGCGAATGATGGAAATGACTGTCGCAAACGACTGCAAGGTCAAGGAGGCCATCGCTTTCGGCGACGGGCGTTTCAACATCGGCCTGATTGTTGAGGCAAGTATTGATCTTGATATGAAGGATAAGGAACAAGTGTCAGCGTACGTTGAAGAGATATGGCCTAGTGTGCAAGCTGGGAACGAGTTTACCGACAATCACGGAAAGATAACTTCCAAAGGAATGATAGTTGTTACCACTCCCTCGTACAAGCAGCTTGCCCGTACGGATAAGGGGAGTCTAACTCGGAAGACGATTGTCCAAGATTTCGCCGAAGAGATCGATGCCGCATATGAGAAAGCCGAGATGGAGGGAATAGAAGCCATGCCAGGCTCAGTGGAAGATACAAAAGCGTGGCTTAAAACCCTAGTAGGAGACATTATCAAGATCTCTCCAGGCGACCCCACTTGGTTAGATTCAGATGATTTCTTTGAGCTAGGAATGGATTCTCTCCAAGCTACCATTCTACGCCGCAGGATATTGGCAAGTATTACCAAATCAGGTCGGGAGTTCAAGGAGTTGTCACCAGACTTCATCTTCAAATGCCCAACAATTGATACCTTGCATGGGCTGCTTTCCGGCAATGCATCTGACTCGAGTCGCGAACGCGCTGATCGCATGAACGAGATGGTTCGTAAATACGTGTCCAATATCAGGTCTTTGCCACCCCCCACGATGGCTCCAACCGCTATAGTCCTCCTAACGGGTTCTACTGGGAGTTTGGGCTCCTTTCTTTTGGCGCAGCTCACAGCCTTGCCTCATGTCGACAAGGTTATATGTCTTAACCGCCGGATCAGCTCACCCGGTTTCAAAGACCTTCGTTCTAGACAAGAGGCTGCTCTTTCCAAGGGCGGGATCACGATCCCAACTTCATCCTGGGGAAGGATAACAATCCACGAGGCCGACCTGAAAGCACCGTCATTTGGATTACCGGACTCCGATTACAATTCTCTTCGATCCGTGACACACATCATTCACAATGCCTGGCCTATGGATTTTAACAGGTCTCTCGAGTCATTTGAGCCCCATTTCCATGCAACCCAAAATATCGTCTCATTGGCTTTGTTAGCAAACGAAAGCAACCCGCAAAACAAGCCCCGAATTTTGTTTACTTCTTCGGTCGCAGCTGTAGGAAGATATCCGGCACTGACAGGAAACGCGCTCATCCCGGAAGACCCCATGCACAATGCACAGGTGACAGACCACTTCGGCTACCCGGAGGCCAAATGGGTCTGCGAGCGACTCATTGAGGAGGCTGGCAGAATCCACCCGGGAAGAATTGAAACAGCAAGCGTTCGTATCGGTCAGCTTACCGGATCGGAGAGCAGCGGGGCGTGGAGTCCGAAAGAGCATTTTCCCTCCATTCTTAAATCATCACAGACTATTGGAAGTCTTCCGGATATCAAGGGCGTAAGCATTCCCTTCCCTCCCCACCTTCTTTTTTGGACTCTATGCCTAATTAGCTAAACCACTTAGACACTATCTTGGATTCCGGTAGACCGTGCTGCAAGGGTGGTTATTGAACTCTTATTCCAGTCCTCCCCTCCGGATCCCATTTATCATCTCGAAAACCCAATGCGCCAGCCTTGGTCTGATCTTCTTGTGCTCCTTTCGCGAGCACTGGGTCTGCCATCAAAAATCATCCCATTCGAAGCCTGGTTGGATAAAGTCCGGTCAATTACAGACGCAGAGAAGAACCCAGCAGGTAAAGTTGTAAAGTTTCTGGAAGAAGAATTTACAGCAATGGCTTCTGGAGCAGTTGTTCTTGATACAAGGAAGGCTAGACGAGTATCTAGAACCCTAGCAGGCAGTGGGGGTATTGAATCAAGACACGTAGACCTATATGTCAAGTACTGGAGGAGTGTTGGGCACCTGTCGTGAAAGTATATGGGTATGACACGGTGATAAGGTTTCTTTTGTGCTGGGATGCGGAGCTATTATTATTACTGTATCATGTATTTACTTTTTCCCTCGTTTATTATATCCCCTGCCCCCCCCCAAAAATTGAATTCAGGGCTGGCGCTAGTTTGGAATATTCACTAAAGATTCTTCCATAAAAGCTTGCTCCGCTCAACTAAATCCCTTAAGTTGGACTAAGAAGTTTATAGTGGCACGTAGTTGCCCGTTCCTATCACAACGTGGAATCATCCTGGATGCAGGATTTTCTGCCGGCAGGATGTCGCGTTTTGATCAGAGAATTCCCTACTGTGATATAGCGTAAAAAGCTCTTGAGTTAATGGTGTTATCTAGTCATAAGTTACTCGCGGGCCGAGTGGAAGTTGGACACCCACAAAACGTAGTGATCGCCCAACCAATAACAAGCCCATGCAGGCTAACGTAATTAATAATCATAGACAAAACAAACAGCTCCACATAATCCGTTCTTCTATAGAGAGTACTTGTACCCGGGGAGATGTTTTCGTGCAGAGCAGGGATTATCTTGCTGGTTAACGGACCCTGTCCCGTACGAAAGCACCCCCCCCCCTCCGGGTACTTGTACGATCTTGGCGACAAAATTAGTGCCCCCCTCCCTCCACTCTACACCTATAGAATTAACGAAATTAATGCCATAATGTAGAAACTACCCCTACTCTCTAGGTAGGAATTATGAGAATCCTCCCACTCACCATAGTGGCTAAGATCTCAGGGTCCAGATTGGATATTGTTGCAATGTACAGTACTTTATGTATGGCACTCATAAAATTGCAAGTACCTTTTGCCCACCATCTTTACCATCTTTATTTCTGGTTTTACACCATGGACATTTACTAACAGAGCTTGTCGCTGAAGGTGGTAATGCCTAGCTGACTCTAAACGCTTTACCGGATTTTCCCATTTTGTGTAGAGGAACAGGACTGAGGTTTTACGATGTGAAAATACCCATTTCCGGTGTGGGGTAGGGGGGGCACGAGTTTTGTCACCCAGCTCGTGCGTGAGTTGGCAAACTACCATTTACTCAGGTAATCTGGAACCTAGACATTGAAATTACCCGCTCAACCACCAGGTATCACTCTTTGGAGCTTCTCATAAAGTATTTAAGACTTTTGGTCGACCACAGCCTGAGGGAGAGAGCCTCCCAAAGCGCTCACGAGCCCCTGTTTGGCCCCATATACTGCCACTTAACTTATCTTCTACGGTGTATCATAGAATCATATCACTTGACTGGCGCTTTGGAAATGTCAATTTACTGGCCGTGCGATCCCTACCCTCTGTGGGTGTCCAACTTCAACTCGGCCACGCGAGTGTAGGGCCCTGGTTCTTGGCGATGAGCATCACACATTCTCAAAAACTAGGCCCACGACGGCTTCGGCATGGTCCCCTTAGTTTGAAAAACAAATGAAGCGACTAGTGCCTCAACCACCATTAAGAGTGAACTGTCATACCGCAAAAACTCGATTAATCGGACCGTATCCTATGTAGCCCAAAATTCCCTTCTCCGGAAAAGTACCCGGGCCGGTTGTTCGAGTTCCCGTGGAATCACTGCCGCAGTTAAACAAATATCCAATGAATAATGAAAATAAGTTGGGACTAAAATTTCTTTGGGCGGAAGTAACGGTATGTTTTAAAAATGTAAAATATGACGGACACGTGAACCGCCAATCAGCTGGTCATCTCATGTTGAATGTACTCGAGCAAGGGCCTGGAGGTGTATTGGTAATCCTGCGTCAAATAGAGCACAACAGCGCAAAAATTTGTGAAGATCTCGGCCCAAAGCACTTGAAGTTCGACAGAAGGGGCTGTTACCGCCACAGCTTGCAAATCCTTTCACCATGACTAGTACTTTTGATAAAGAATTGCCTTGACCTAGTATGACTACATAAGGGACTTGCCAAGCCCGACAATATATAAGGGTCTTGACATGGGCTTTGGAGTGTTAGGAATAATTGACAGTAATGGAAATAAACATGACACCCGACCCATCCCACAACCTCATAATATGAATGATAGCCCCTCTAGACCAATACAGGCGCTTCTAAATTGCCAGAAGTCCCTATTCGACTTATATAAGAATTGGTCTGAGGCGGGTTAAGGCGGTCAGGTCAATCTGATAAAGAACCAAATTCTAGCCATCATGCCAAGAAAGGAACTTGTATCATATGGTAAGGTGGTTTCATCGAAGAGCAGACCCTCTCGACGCATTATTGGAACTCGAGAAATCGTTCAGTAGATCTCGGAGTTTGAGGCAAGAATTCGACTCGACTCTAGATGAGATCCTCAAAGCCTATAACCAAAATGGGAGGGCAAAGTAACTCTGGATCATGGATCGGCATCGCGCATGAAGGCCCGAGAGTATTTAAGGGGTACCCGAGCACTGCATTGTAGCTAAGCCTTTCGTTGGACTATCCCGAACCGGTGAAAGAAAGGGCATTGGTCGTACTTGTTATGGGGCACGTTAAAATACCCACGCTCGGGTCCTGCTGCATAGGAGTTGAAAGAAAAACAAATCGATTGATTGAGACATGATCGCCCTATCCGTCTATTCAGCGTCAAATAGGTCGATATATACCAGTTTAGGAAAACGTATTTAAGGGTAGGCTACCAGTAGAAAAACGCGAGGTTGATGTTGCCCCTCGGTTGTTTATGTCACGCTTCGCGTCTTAGTGTGGCCCACGATGTGAGGTTGAAAATTTCCTCAACTAGCAAAGGTCCAAGCTTCCATGCAAGGGACTTGCCAGAAGGCTTGGCAATGAGCCCTGTCCCGATACCACCACCGTGGGGAAACCGAGTAAAAACTCAACATCAATCCCTCTGTCGATCAAGTGTCACAACTCCGAGAATGTGGGCTGGCCATTCTAGAAGTCATAATTTTTTTCTTCCTATTATCTAGCCATACTAGTCTTTGCGTCCTAATGGCCGATGTGGTGGGGATTCCTGATATCAACGATGATGGCCTTATTCCATTGAACGGCTACAAAATGTAACACAGGCCCCGAGTGATGACAAGTCTTTTTTTCCGATTGAATTAGGGTAGGAGATTACTGCGGTGGCTGCTCTTTATCGGACGTTATTCAAGCTACCGGAGATCCGTCACCCTTTTGTCGTGCGGTTTTCTGATTGGGAAACGGAGAATAGTGTGAGCAGTGGATGCAGGAAGCTATCCTTAGAGGTGTTGGGGTTGTATAGGATTTGGTTGTTGTACAAGGGAGGCTTGGCATATATGTATTTCCCTTTAAGTAGGCATGGTCGTAGCTAGGAAGTCATTCCGTCCACCAACACCCAGACCTACAAATACTTGGTTCCATCTGTAAAGGGCTTTGGTACGGGTGGGCACGCGCAAGTCTCTATACTCCCCTATTCTCTTTCATAACCGTCAAGCATTCTATTAAGTCCCTCCCTCCTCGCTATACATCGGCGATACGTCTAATCCCCACTTCAATTCCGCGACATATATGAAAAATGGCCACAGCTGTCAAGCCTGTCACTTACGAGAATGGATTCAGGGAACCCTCTACGGGCACTCCATGGATTAAGGAATATCAACCGGGCGAGGAGACGCCCTCCTATGTTGTTCCTCCATCGGTCGACCTTCTAAGCAGCACCGTGCACAACCATCTCGGGGAAAACGTTCAAAGAGTTTGGCCTACACTTGCCGATGGTACAAATAGCCCACACGGAGTCCCGGAATGGTATAAGAAGGAAAAGGAGGTTGATGTATTGATTTGTGGAGGTAAATATTCCTTAAAAACATAACCAATTCTTGACTTGCCTAATAACCTTCCGTCATAGCTGGTCCTAGTGGTCTCGAGGTTGCCTTGAGCTTGATCCGTCAGGGTGTTTCCTTCCGTATTGTCGGCAAGTAAATTATGACAACCCCCCCCAAAATCTCCTAGCTAATATCACATAGATAAAGCTCCAGGGCCGCTACTTGCTGGGCGTGCCGATGGTGTCCAGCCTCGCTTCTTGGAAACTCTACACCAATGGGGCCTTGCCGAGGAGGTCCACGAAGAGGGACCGCTTATTGAACGTACTGCCGTATATAGGGATGGAAAGAAAGTTATTTTCGGACGTTCTCATCAATCTGATTCTCGCTACCGAGGACTTCACATTATTACTCAAGGCCAGGTGGAAAGAATTTTTATCAGAGATTTATATCGACACCACAAGCTTGTGGAACGCTTGACAACTGTCAAAGACTTTGTGGTTGAGGATAAAGGAGAATATCCAGTAAAGGTCAATTTGGCCAATGAAAAGACAGGGGAGGAAGAGGAAGTTAGAGCCAAGTTCTTGGTCGGCAGCGATGGTGCTGGAAGTAGGATTCGAAAGAGTATGAACATCTCCTTCGATGGTGTTAGCACCGATATCTATTGGGGCATTATGGACTGTGTTTTTGAAACCGATTATCCCCATGCTTGGATGTTTGGGTATGAATCCCCACGCACAGCCCTATGTTCATTCCCAATTGACTGACCTTCAAATAGTTTGGTCATCAATTCCAAACACGGTGGATGTGTCATAATTCCTCGTGAGGATGGATACATCCGTCTGTACACCCAGCTCGACACCTCTGCTACTGGAGAACTTGCAAAGTCTCGCCAACAATCAGATCCCACATTCGCCGAAGCCGGGGGCAAAGTCGATGTCCACTCTATTACTCCTGATGAAGTTTTGGCGCAAGCCAACAGAATCTTCGCTCCCTACAAGCTCAAGTTTGGCAGCACTCTCTCTTGGTTTGCAATCTGGAAAATCTCAGAGCGTGTTGCTGCCAACTACTCATACAAGAACCGTGTTCATCTTGTTGGGGATGCTGCGTAAGTTTCTGTCATCCCGGAGAAGCAAAACCACCGTTAATCACCCAGTTTGAAATTAGGCACGTCCACTCTGTCATGGGTGCTTTTGGTCTGAACGCCTCTATCTTAGATGCTTCCAACCTAGCGTGGAAATTGGGATTCTGCGCCAATAACCAAGCCTCAATTCACAAACTTCTACCAACCTACGAAAATGAGCGGCGCAGGCACGCTGTCCGCATCATTGAAACATCAGGTGTATACCTCCGCTTCGCCTGCAATTCCACCCTCCCACCGGTGAATCTCAAGGGAGTTGGTACCGATCCTCGCGAGGATGAACTCAACAGGCCCGAGAAACCCGACCCAGCTGCCGGTGAAGAGAATGAAGATATTGCCTTCCTCAAGCGCTTCTACGCCCAGAATGGGCCTTTCCTCCTCGGCGTGGACGCAGCGTACGGGAACAATGTCTTGAACCCTCCCCGTTCCACCTCTCCTCACCCTGCTGTTGTCAAGAACGGTGTCCGTGCCCCCAACCCTCGTGTCTGCTTTTCACAAACCAAGACTGGTTATCTCTACGACGCCTTAGCAGGGCCTTCAAAGATCAACATCATAGTCTGGGGCTCTGACCTTGAGGGCCCAATCCGCAAGCGTCTGGTAGCCTTCGCAAAGGCTCTCGCCGACCCCGTATCGTTCTACAACCGGTTCGGTGGTGCGGAGCGATTCAACATCGTTCTCGTCGTTAAGGATACCCCACTAGAGGCCGCGCCCAAGTTGGCGAAGGGCTCAGACCTTGCCCCTTTCAGAGAGATCGGAACCGTTCTTTACGACGATAGAGCCCCCGATGAAGATGCCCACACTTGCTACGGTGTTGATCATGCTAAGGGTGCTGCGGTCGTTGTCCGACCTGATATGTGGACCGGCATTAGCGCCTTCCCCAATGAGGTTGACAAGCTTGCCGAATACTTTGCCGGTTTCTTGATCGAGACCGGGAGCGTCCCCATCCAGGAAAATGCCAACGAAGAGGTCTTTGCCACCACCAGCAGCTGGAGGACCTAAATGTGAAGTTTCTGTGTGTTTTTCTCTTTCTCTCGGGTGTTTCATTTTGGGATTGTTCTATTTCCTTGATGGTGTATCGGGTCTTTTGCAAGCGGCCTAACCCCGCAACACGCTGTTTTCCCTCCAACCTGTTTGTTATTGATGCTTCTGCCGAGATATACAGCGCAAAAGTGAATAGGTGACTTGTCCATTGTACTGCACTGTAGATTATTTTACTAAAAATACACTCCTATGAAATACCTTTCATATTTCATGCGCACCCCTACATCTCCATCTGAATCAGTCTAAGAATTCCCCGTTGGGCGCATGTCAACATATCGTACTAACTCTACAAAGCACCGACCAGGACGTACGCTGTAGACCCGTTCCTACTTACGCCAGGTAAATCGAGTGATAGTCGGTGTATTAACTCGGGCTCCGAAAGTGATATGTGCAGGTTTTTCAGATGGGATCCATCAAAGTTTCTCAAACCATCGCCCTTTCGAGGGCATGGCCAAAAAAAGAGGTACGGTGCTCCCTCCCAAATAGGGAGGTTTTGCGGCGAGTTAAGCTACCCGTGTTGCCAGGGAGGGGTTCTGCTAAGCCGATTCCTCACTGAACTAAGCAGAGTATCATATCATATCATACCGATAGAGTACGGTGGCGCACAGGGCTTTTTTTTTTCGGTGATTTTGTTAAGCGTGGTGCAATCGAGTTTTGCAAGTTATGATACCATATGATACTCATCGCGAATGTCAGATTTCAAATCACCGCCCTCATACTGAGGGGGTAAGTAAATAAAGCATCCGCCACCGCGACGTATCCCATTTCCTAACATCTGCGGTATTCACCCTCCTGTCCTGCTCTGTTTTGCTCACTATCTCGCCGGTCGTGGAGGTATCTTTTATTGGCCAAAGAAAACTCTCCTACGAGAAAAACAACAGGAACTCTTAAAGCAAAGGCATATTCTACAAGCACCAGCCAACTACTAACGGGGGATATTTCGCCTTAATACAAGTGAGCGGATGGATGGATGGATGGATAAATATATGGATGTGTGAGCATATTGGAGACGGAAACGTGGTAAGCAAACCCCGCTTTTTTACACAAATAATAGAATAAAAAAAACAGAGGCTAGCTACATACGATCGCCCAAACCATCAATCGTTCGTAAGGCAGTGCAAATCATAGTTGAGCCACTTCACACTTTACCACAGGCGGAAAGGATATCGTCGTTGCTCCAGTAATAATTTAAGCTGAACAGCGGACACACATAGCAAAACCTCCATAACAAGACCAAACCTCTGAGGTTTTGCTAAGCACCTTGTTTTGTAAAACTAAGCCTGGGTTGTAAACTTTGCTCATGATGGTAGTGCGAACCATACCAATCTTGGGTGGAAAGGGGGTGTAAGCAAAAGCCTGTTAATAGGCCTACCTATTCAAGACACTAAAAGTTGAGCCACTAGGCACTTGCGCACATTTGGAAAGGTTAGCCTAGTGTCGTTGCTCTACAAGTAGTGGTACTTGTACTAGGGAGAGTTCAGGATACGACAGCCTTAGCAAAACCTCCCCAATGGGGTTGTGTTGATTGTATAAGAAGGGTGTTTCGCCGCCGCCTCGCTATTGCCACTACAATACCCGGGGAATAGGCGGCCCCTCTAGATCCGAGTGTGATATTATGCAAGAAACGGTATACAAATGATATGGAAATTAGATGTAAACACGTATTCTCCTGAGGATTGCGCTGATGAATTTAAGAGTCCGTTTGGAATTACCGTAGTTCCAGGAAATATGATATGAATAACCGACCGCATTGTACTAAATTACCTCCCCTCTCCCTCCATCCAAAGTACGATTTGAGGTTTTCTTCCTGGGCGAGAAACACAAGCGTGAGAAATTTTTTGCTTCCTTCCTCTCGACAATGGGGTAGTTGCGCTAGGATAAATTAAATTCTCATTCAAAACTTTCTCCTACGGCGGCCCACCTCACCGTGTGTATAGATTATCATATGAGCACCACACTCACCAGTACCTCACCTCCTCACCTCCTACTCCGAGTCTCACCCCCACACTGTCCTACAGTGTCCCCGCCGCTCAGGATCGTCAACCAAAGTCAATCCCTTTCTCCAAGCATGACAAAACGGGCGAGTGATATGCGAAAGGCACATCACAAGGCACGGAGTAAAAAAAAAAAAATTCCCCTTTTCCTCTTTTACTATCTCCTCTGGGACGGCTTAGCTTAGGTGGTGTGCTCCCTGAGGTTTTCAGCTTTAGTAGAGTAGGATAGATCTTGGCCGGGGTTGTGCTCGACTTGACTAGTGATCGTGAAAGCAGAGGCAATGGGTGCTGGATGGTGGGTGAATGGATAGGAGCTACGGGGAGCGGTATTCGAGCACTTTTAAGTGGCATTTCGGATCTTATTGGAGGGGGGGGTGATGTGATGAAGAGTAAGGTTGTGGTTGCACTTCAAGATTTATGTAGAATCCAGAATTTTTCGATCGGCAAGCATACTTACCTACTGTCAATATCAGATTGCAGGGTATGGCGGGACGATAGGTTTGATAACCGGTAGCGTATCCTAGTAGTATCATACGCGGAAGAAAGTGGACTACCTTTCGGAGATGCACTTGGTTCAATTCGGCTGATAGCCTCCATGGAGTCGACTGCGTACTTCTGAGCTACTGGGCCACCTGACACCCGGGCATACTGTCGGAGGCCTGTCCCGGATGTGTCTATTTGTCAGTATTAGCAAGGGGATAAGCTGTGTACAGTACCACAATTTGTGTGATGGGCAATTTTTCCGACCAAGGAACAAAAGGTACCTGCCCCCCAGGGTTGGTTAGAGATGAAAAGGTAGGGCAGATAGGCTACCACCAATACCATAAATAGAGAAGAGCATGCGGTAGTTTAAGGGAGAAAGAACCCCCGGAAATAAAAAAGAATAGGAAATAAAGGAAAGGAGCGGTAGAGAGAGATCTGATGATTGTGATTGCGTTCTGAAGAGAATTGTTGCCTTCACTACTCTTTTCCGAGAGTTCCCGGAGGGATATATAATACTGGTTCCCTACCACTAAAATGCCAGCTAATTGTTGACGTCCATTTTCTCTCCCCACAACCAATACCCAGCAATAAATACGGTGCAAACGTCACCTAGAAGAAACTTCTAGACAATAATGACTCATCCCTCCCCTCCTTTGAGTACAAAGGGCCAAAAAAGATAAAAGTTTAATGGTTCCAGAGGGGGTCGAACCCTCGACCTTGGCGTTAACATCTGAAGAATATTAGCACCACGCGCTAACCAACTGAGCCATGGAACCTTGATCGAGTTTCTACATAGAGAATTCATAAGCAGCATCCCTACAACCCACAACAACCGGATGTCGTGGATGAAAGTAGGACAGGTCTTACCAAGGGTTTCAGCTGATTTTCGTAGGGAAGAAACATTTCTAGGCACGAAACTGGCTACAATAGATGCAGTTTTACCATACCGGTATTCAATCGGAAGGGGGCAGCCATGGGTCGAGTAGACGCCAAATTACTTGGCACATGAGATTTCAAAGTTTTAGTCTTCCAGGGCTTGATCCGTGGGATCACGACTTCCTGACTCTTACCGGATAGTCCAGCTATAAATTCTCCAGAGCCTCATGCCCATCAGGGCTCAATTATCCAGTTCCCTTCTACACCACGAGTACCTGTGGGAGTGTGTAGTTCATAAATGATCACTCGCATAGTCCACCGGCTTTGTTATGAATCCCCACTTGAGAGCACCACAAGTTCAGACGACGATCCAGGGACCGACCGGAGAAAAGAAGAAACGAATATTACTATTGAGGGAAATGAACAGTGGCTGCAAATTTGCATACAAGCGATTAGAGAGCCAATGCGCCAGGTGGTCCCAAACGTATCCATTCCAAACAACAGGAGTTACGCAATACCGGGGGGCCGAAAGACCCTAATCATGTAGTAGGGAATAGAGCTATAAACCCGGGAAGTAGCAAACCTGTATGATATTCTAATAATTCCGATAGTGCAGGATTGGCTAAGGATCAACCTGCTGAGAAGTTTCCTTACCTTTATGGCTCATTCGATATGATATGTCCATTCCTGCCCATTCACAAACCCAAGTTTGAGCCATCTTCAAAGAGCTACCCCATATGCTCAAATCACTAGCATCGAGATTTCAGAAGTTGCTCCAGGGCTCCCTTAAGGCTCTATCTCCGCTCCCGTCGTTTTTTCTCTATATCCACTCACGTCGGCTTAGGTATGATACGTGAATTAATCAAATTAATCCCCGGGATTTCGGGAATTGGGGACTCGTATTAATCCTTTCTCCGGGTTATGGATGTATTCCCCTGTCCTATCACCGCGAACAAGTAGGCACGAAGGGAGAGCGGCGAAGGCGCCTTTGTAATGTAAGAGTTACCATCCCATACTGGCGGATAGGGGGGAATAACAGTGCCCATCTGAGCTGAAATGAAAGAGCTATCTCAACCCGCCTCCAAATGAACTCGCAGGTTTTTATTTCCAAGACCAAAACTCAACACCCTTTTTGATTCCAGCCTACTCCCGAGAAACCCTTCGTACACCAGCTACTTGGCGTTTCACCAAACTCTCCGAGCGCCCACCATCTCTCTACTTTATCCTTTATCTTCTATTTATTATATAATCTCTCCAAGATAACTAACACCAAGCTAGTTTCGGTAGAAATAATAATGGAATTCCCCTACAGTATCTTAGCATTATTAGATTTCATACTAGAAAGATGATGGCAAACTTTAGGTATCCCACACCGCCTAATGCACGGGACAAGTGCCAAAATTATATAGGCTTTTCGCATATCAGTTATCAGCATACAGCCACCCGGCAGAAATGTTAATGAAACTTGTCTCACATCCCTAAGCTATCATACCTCTCGAAAATCCTCGACTGACGAAATTGATTGTGATTTTCTCTCCACACCTTCTAGCAATAGTGCAAGTGTCCAAGTCAATTAATCTCCATTTCACCCTTATTCTTCCCCTCAATAGTAGATAATGGATCTAGAGATGTATGTAGCGAAACATAAACTCCAAAAACACCCATAAGAGGCATGGCTGCCACTAAGAGTTTAATTACTTTCTTTTTCTTCCTCCAGAAAATTGCCCTAGTTGCTCGAAATATTGGGTGGCCCTGAAAAGTAGTTAAAATATTCTGGTCCGGGCATGTGAGCGCCTATGACTTTATAATCTTCTTTCTGAATAAACCACTCTTCCCTTGGCACCCTCGTTCGAATATCGGTAGCGCAGCAGCACAGTGAGCGGAGAAAAAAAGGGGGGGGGATTGAGCATTACGGAGTAGATATAGGAAAGGTATGGTCATAAGCTTCGCTCCCTTGTTCGGCACTCTCTAAACCAACAGCAAATACAGGAGCATAATATATGAGAGGATGCCATAGCAAAATCATCCTGGTCCTTCCGCGAATACCGTACCGTATTACCCTGAACAAGAGACACTTGCCTCGGGACGTCTAAGTTTCCCTTCTTAGTAAGGTGTTTTTTGTTTTATTCGCACTTTCTCCCATCCCTTTCAAAATAAGAAACACAGATGTCCCGAGTCAATTATCTCTCTTCCTCCATGCATGTCCCCACTTCCTTGTATATACTCCTGTGACAACAAAGAAAAGACAGATCTGGAGAACCTCCTCCATAAATCACAATAACTTCAGAAAAGAAGGGACCACCTACAACACTCCCATAACCACAACCACCGACCACTACCCACCATCCCCCCTCAGCTCCAAGATCTTCCGAGCGATTGAGAACATCGCACAATTGGCTATTATTGTTTCCTCAAATTTCTGTTTCTCATTTGACCTTAATATTTTTTACTTTTGCCGTTCTAACAAGCTTACCACCTTCCGTTGTTCTCGCAGGTTGAAACCAACTAGGTATTATATTGTGTGCCTTAATCAGACGCTGGTAGCCTATCAGAAGAATAAGCGGAGAATCACCTGATTGATTTTGGTTGTTGCGCCCCACCTCTCAGCCTCAGCCTAGCATGTCAAGCAGTCAATATTAATCCTAATCAACGATTTTCATATCCATCGCGCTCTTTACCAGAACTCTCCCCCCTTCTATTATTTTATGCGAAAAATCTCGGATTCTTTTTTACATCTTAATAGGTTTGGTCCTCACTATTGATGCAGATCCCACTCATATCTGACGCTAGGTGTTGGCACGTTGCAAGCCAAATAGACTCCCGGTTCGAGTGAAAAACTATCAGGAAAATCGGAAATAAGCTGAGAAAGAAACAGAACAATATAAGCCGAGGAATAACCGTGCGAACTAAGTAAGTGTAGACCTTGGACTGAGAGCAATCCTTGATTCTAGCTAGTCCCTAAAACTTGTGCTTTATAGTACCAAACGTCAAGCTCTAGCAAGGATAACTCTCGATCGTGCCTAAGGCCTACTCAAGTACTTTAGAGAAACAAGCCAACAGTGGTCCCCTAATAGACGAGGAAATTCGCTTTCGGGACGACCGCGATAACACGTTCAGCGCAAGCCGGGAGTAGTAGAGGGGAGACTTGATAATAACTCAGAGGGCGTACCGCAGATTAGAGAGCATGCGTCGGTTTATGCGGGCAGGAGTGCAGAAGATACTGGGCCCAGATCATCCGGATAACTTAAAGAGGATCAATAACCAAGGTGTGGCACTATACCAACAGGGAAAGTACGATGAGGCCGAGATTATGTACCGGCGTGCACTGGCGGGCAGAGAGAAAGCGCTCGGTCCAGATCACCGAGATACCCTAGAGAGTGTCCATAATCTCGGCGCGGCACTGCACTGTCAGGGAAAGCACGATGATGCCGAGATTGCGCATCGGCGCGGATTGGCCGGTAGAGAGAAAACTCTCGGGCCAGACCATCGAGATACCTTACAGAGTGTTAGGGACCTAGGTATGGCACTGCAATGTCAAGAAAAGTACGACGATGCCGAGATTATGTATCGACGTGCACTGGTGGGTAGAGAGAAGACGCTCGGTCTGGATCATCGAGATACCTTAGAGAGCGTCAATAATCTCGGTACGGTGCTGCATTGCCAGGAAAAGTACGACGATGCCGAGGTTATGCATCGGCGTGTATTGGCGGGTAGAGAGAAAGCGCTCGGTCTAGATCATCAAGATACCTTAGAGAGTGTCAATAATCTTGGCACAGCGCTACATTACCAGAAAATGTACGACGAAGCGGAGGTTATGCATCGACGTGCATTGGCGGGCAGAGAGAAAACGCTTGGGCCGGATCATGAAGATACCGTGCGGAGTGTTAATAATCTTGGAACGACTCTGCGCAGTCAAGGAAAATACGACGAAGCCGAGATTATGCATCGACGCGCATTGGCGGGCAGAGAGAAAATGCTCGGGTCAGATCATCCACTTACCTTACGGAGCGTTGGCGATTTAGGTGTGGCGCTGCATTTTCAAGGAAAGCACGACGAAGCCGGGATTATGTATCGACGCGCGCTGGCGGGCAGAGAGAAAACACTTGGCCTAGACCATCGAGATACCTTAGAGAGTGTCAACAATCTCGGTGCAGCACTGCATTGTCAGGGGAAGTACGACGATGCCGAAATTTTGTATCGACGTGCACTGGTGGGTAGAGAGAAGACGCTCAGGCCAGATCATCGAGATACCTTAGAGAGTGTCAATAATCTCGGCACGGCGCTGCATTTCCAGGAAAAGTACGACAAGGCCGAAGTTATGCATCGACGTGCATTGGGAGATAGAGAGAAAACGCTGGGGCCGGATCATCAAGATACTTTAGAGAGTGTGGATAATCTCGGTGCGGTGTTCCATCGTCAAGGAAAGTACGGCGAAGCCGAGATTATGCACCGACGTGCATTAGCGAGTAGAGAGAAAATGCTCAGGCTCGATCATCGAGACTCCTTAGAGAGTGTCCATAATCTCGGCGCGGCGCTGCATTGTCAAGGAAAGCACGACGAAGCCGAGGTTATGCATCGACGCGCATTGGCAGGTAGAGAGAAAACGCTCGGGGCAATTCACCGAGATACCTTACGGAGTGTCAACAATCTCGGTACGACTCTGCGCAGTCAAGGAATGTACGACGAGGCTGAGGTTATGCATCGACGTGCATTGGCAGGTAGAGAGAAAACTCTCGGGTTGGATCATCAAGATACTTTAGAGAGTGTCGACAATCTCGGTACGACTCTGCATAAGCAAGGAAAGTATGACGAGGCCGAGGTTATGCATCGACGTGCATTGGCGGGTACGGAGAAAACGCTCGGGCTAGATCACCGAGATACCTTGCGAAGTGTCGAAAATCTCGCTACGACTCTACGAAGTCAAGGAAAGCACGAAGAAGCAGAGATCATGTACTTACGTGTATTAGCGAGCAGAGAGAAGGTGATCGATCAAGGCCATCGAGACACCACGCGGAGTGTTGGGGACCTGGGTGTGGCGCCGCAGGGTCAGGTAGAGCGTGGCGGAGCGGAGGTTATGCACCGACGCGCATTTACGGGAAAAGATAAAACGCTGGGGTCACATAGTGCAAATACTCTAGGTGCGGCGCCGCATGATCAGAAAAAGAAGAGCAACGAAGTGGAAAATACGCATCGACATGGAGCAGAAGGTGGGGGGAACCCGCTTGGACCAAATCATCCAGACGTCCTACTAGGTGTTATTGGACTAGCTGTAACGCTTCTCGCTGAGAGTAACTACGAAGAAGCTAAGGTCATATATCGACATGGCCTAAGGGCTATGGAAAAGGCTCTAGGGCCGGATCATCCAGTTGCCCTCGACAGTATGAATACGCTTGGCGAAACGCTGCTCGATCTGGGAAGATATGACGAAGCGGAGGCTATGTGTCGACTTGCATTGGCGGGCAGAGAGAAAACTCTAGGAGCAGATCATGCAGTCACCCTTACAAGCGCCAATAACCTTGGCCGGACGCTGTATCATCAGAGAAAGTACGAAGAAGCGGAGATGATATTTCAATCTACTCAGGCCGGTAGAAAAAAGGTGCTTGGACTATATCATCCAGATACCCTACTAAGTGCCGTTTGCCTAGGGGTGACGCTGCTTGATCGGAAAAAGTATGGAGAAGCTGAGGTCGTGTATCGGCATGCCCTAGGGGCTATGGAGAAAGCTCTGGGGCCCGATCATCCAGATGTGCTCGACAACGTGAATACGCTAGGCGAGACGCTTCTCGATCTGAAAAATTATAGCGAAGCCGAAGTTGTGTGCCGACGTGCGCTAGTGGGTAGAGAGAAGAAATTTGGCCCGGATCATCGAGATACCCTATTAAGTGCCAATAACCTTGGTTTGGCACTGAGGAATCAGAATAAGCACCACGAAGCGGAGATTAGTTATCGACGTGCAATGATCGGTGCGGAGAAGACGCTTGGGCTTGGCCACCGAGATACTCTAATGTGCATCTATAACCTGGCTGGGGTGTTGCACAAGCAGAGGAAGTATGGCGAGGCGGAGATGATGCATCGCCGTGCACTAACGGGACGAGAGAGGATTCTAGGGCTGGGTCATCGGCACACCCTTCGCAGCCTCATTAAGCTAGGCACTGTACTGCACGAGAAGGGGGAGTACGGTGAAGCGGAGATTATGTATCGACGTGCAGTTACGGAGGCGGAGAGAGCTCTAGGGCAAGGCCACCCTACCACCCTAAAAAATTTTAACCTCCTCTCGATATTTCTCCAGGCCCGGGCGACGAGTGCCGCGGGCGAGGCATCATGACAGAAATGAAGGGTTTAAGTTTACTCAGGAATGAAATCATATTGGCCATTTCCTTATACATCAGATTCCTTACTTTTTTATTTTTATTTTCCGAAATATCTAGCTTTTATAACGTCCGGTTATCATATGATACTTTCTTGCTTCTTGGTGGTGCTAAGTAATTCAATTTCTTTGACTAGAGCTAAATTGGATTAATTAGGGATCCAATGATTTGCACTATGACGGGCCCGCCGATAGCCTAACGCACTAGCCAGGGTCGATTGTACCAACGGTTTTCTTCACACCGTCTATCCTTGTAAGATGGAGGTTGTCGGATACATGGGTAAGGCGGTGGTGTTCTCCCACTCAGCCACGAATCGGTGCTAGCTATGTAAAGAAGCCTTCTACGATACCCAATGCTCCTCAAGTAGACTCAGGTACATGCTACATATTACCACGAAAGGGACTATTATAGACCTTCTAGAAAAGTGTACCAGGGGTCAACAACAAGCGCAGCTATCGCAATTAAAGGGTGAACTCTGCCCGGCGCTCTACACGACCCATACCGGAGGCCAATAGCGCCCAAGCAATTCCGTAGGCCATAAAATGAGCTCTTACGAGGAAGGACGCACATTTGTAAACCAACATGTTATACAACACAAGACACCCTCTGGGCGAGAGTTATAATATGCATTGCATTCCACAAGCAAGCTACAGGACACCGTTCTCAGGGATTACCAACGCAATTCACCCCCTTCTATAATCCTGTGATCCCAACCTTGTATTGCTTGCTGAAGAACAGAAAAAGGAAGGAAAAAACCTGATTGCGCTACTCAAGCTCTTAAACCCATCGCCCTGCCGAAGGGCGTACTCGTTCTGGATGTGGGTTCCTTGCTTGGTGGCCGGGTCGGGAGTACAAGGGTAGTGAACTGTATTGAAGCGGACGGACGCACCAAAGATACGAGGATATAAATCCTTCCTCCAAGCCTCCCACCTCATCAATTCCCTACGCAAAACAGGGCGTTATGGGTGCGATCACTGGTGCCCACCCGAAGAGCTCACCGGCTGTGCTGTTCTCCTTTGCGCTTAAGACACGCTTGCGGCTGGTACAGAAACCCGGCAGCGGTTCTCGCGATCTGGGACCTATTTAATTGCGATTGCGCAATGAGGTGCCCGGCGGGTTGCATTGAGCGCTGTTAATGATCAACTCTCAAGAATAATGGTGGACAGATGGGGGCTGTGGAGAAAAAAAGAGTGACAATTAGCTTATATAGCAAACATAGGAATCAAAGAAAACAATACTAGTTACAGACGTACCCCCTTTGCCCTGAGTGGTCAAAATCCTGAGCGCTATCCAGGACAACGAAGAATGTGGGGGGGAGAAATGATGGAGAAACCCTCTTTAAAGTTAAGTCGAAAAATCAAGTCACAATTGAGCGGAAAAAACAAGTATTCCATATAAGGTCTGGGTGAGGGATAGAGTAGCAAATAAAAAAAAAGGGCGTAGAATGAGTTGACCGCCTAATAGTACTTGATAGACCATTTCATTCTCGTGTCGGGAGTCTGTGTCCATTCACTACCACGATCGTGAACAGCCACTCATTGTCTTGGCTGATCGATCAGTGGCACCCTGGCATAGGAACGGGCGCATGCTGTTCGCCTTACTACTCGTACACACTATTACTGCACCGAGCATGAGGGTAATAGTACTCCCCACGCTCCACGGTGCCGTGTCTCATGATGGGTAGTGAGTGCCCCTGCTTTCGGATTCGTGGTCGTTACCTCAATTTTCCGAGAAGAGAGGGCAACACACCTTACTCAAGGAGGCAACTCCAACGTCCAAGCGAGATTCCCAATTATTCAAGTTCCTGCGGTATCGTACGTACCGCTCGAATCTGCATCGGCCTCGCTCGCGCTACTTTTATGTCGTGGAATACATGTACTGTACCGACCAGTGAGTGCTGCTGCAGTGGGAAACCCAAGCGTCCCCAGTATATATGTGGGTATCGTTCATACCCGGCGTTAATAATAAAGGATCATATCCATTCACCCTAGGCCTTAGGTGTGCCGGTATAATAGAGTTCACCTTCCGGATGTCCGCAGGTTTTATGGATCTCCAAGCACAGTATGGTACTGGTAAGGCGAACGTGGTTTACCATACCGTATTAGCTCACTCCATTGGAACTCAGCCTGGTATTTTAAAATGGGGTGATGTGTGCAAAGGGAATTGCGCAATTTATCTTGTGGCATCTCTTTGGTCATAATCGGGAGGAGAGGTTGGTATAACTGGGGGCGTACGGGTGCTGCTTGGTTTTATTCGCACTCTTTTTCTTGGCTCAAGTTGGGGCGAGGTTGGGAGTTGTGAGCCTAGGCGTTCGTTCATTTGGGCTGGAGGGATGGGTATCATAGTCCAATGGTAATCGGCATGGGTCTGCGAAGGGCCAAAAGCCGCTTTTTCGAGTGCCAAGCCTAGGTTGATGTGTTGAGTTTTAATACGAGTAACTTATCATACGTATCGTGTGGATGATAACCGTGCCAAGTTGTCCCAACTTGAAAAGCCGGCGCGGCTGAATGCCTCTAAGGCTGTAGTAAACTGGTACGGTGTCATACCTGGTTTATGATAGCAATGAAAAACCTCTCGCTGCCCCAAATATTCTTACCATACATACTCGGGTACACTTTTTGCCATCAAGAACGCAAGGGCTGATCGTTTCTCTCTTCTGAATCAGATTGATGGTCTTTTAATGTGCCGGTACCGGGATAGTGTTTATCCATGAATTTGGTGTGCCGAATGAGGCCCAAATCAGCACCCTTGTGCTGCCACAACACCGGTTCTGAGGCTTTAGGGTGTTACATACAAGTAAGCCACCCGAAGTGCTGTACGTACGGTACATTCTCATTGCCAATAAAGACGCACAAGCGCCTTGTACTGTACCTGGAAAGACTGCAAATGCTGGTATTTATTTTGAGAGAAGCGTCACCCACGCGTTCAGTCTCGAATTCCCAATAAAGCGTCCCCCACTTATGGCTCCCGTGGACCAAAAACTATTAATACACGGGGATCTTTAGTGATTTCAATCCATTCTACACTTCCGCTAAATGAAGGAAGGAATGGGTTTGAAAACATCGCTACAATACAGCTTGGGGGATATTAGGAAGAGCGATGTAGTTGTTTTTTTCGCGGTAACTCGATTAAAGGTCTCAATAACCCGATTACACGACAAGAAGCTCGAATAATCGGACCACGTGTTAGGACGTTGGAGCTGCCTCTCCTCGTAAGGTCTCAATTAAATTTTGTCTCAGGAAGTAGGTTTTTCGATGTGCTTTTCGCCCCTTTCCCAGAGGAGGAAATTTTGGACCGCATAGCACATGGTGGGTTCATGCGGGCTCTTACAAGTACGGTGCGGTGCTATCATACAAGCACAATACTCGTACTCTACTGGTGTTTGGTCAGTTTGATTTTGGCACGGGACTTGATAGTCTATAAGGAGACGGAACCTTGCCGTGATGCCTTGCTTTATGATGATAATATTATTGTCAAGGGTGGAGTCTTGGCACCCAAACCAACTCACCCCGTGTAACACTCAGCCTTGCGCGACCGGACGAGCCATAGGTAAGTTAAGCTAAACCTTTTATCGCCAAAAACAGCCCTATTTTGGACTTCCCCCATACTACATCGAATGTTTTACTTCAGCCCCGACTTTATTCCAATTTTCACACCATGCTAGATAATGCAGCATTATGGCCCCGCTTTCATCAAGTCCAACAACTCTGTGATCCTTCTATCCCCCCCCCCAACCTTCCGACAGTTAGCAGTACAACGACCACAGCACACTTCTGCCCACCAACATGAGTCACTCAAGAAACCCACGACCGAGTGCTGCCGGAGCGGGCCATAAAAGCAGTTCCGACGCAACAGATCGCTACAGCACCCCATACAGCACCACGCATACAGACGAGGAGCTCCGCGTCCTGAGATGGCTATCGCCGCTAGAACCTCATATCCGTCACCGGGACTTGCGCGCCCGCCGACAGGATGGTTTAGGGGATTGGTTTTTGCAAAACAATGATTTTATCGAATGGCGTGACGGCAAAAGCCGATCGGGCAAGGCTATTCTGTTCTGTTCCGGGGATGCAGGTGTTGGGAAAACCTACCTCAGGTAGGAGACTCCTTACGAGTGACGGCTGCCGCCAACTAATTCTTGTATGATCCCAGCTCGCTAGTAATTGATACGCTATGCGATCAGGTCGAGAGGAATAGCGTCGCCGTCGCTTACCTCTATTGCGATTTTCTGGGCCAAAAGGAGCAAACCGTTACAAACATGATAGGAGCTCTGGCCAAGCAACTTGTGCGTGCTCTGAGAACGGTTCCTGCTGGGATCGATGAAGCGTTCAAGAAAGAAAAACTCGGTGACGGAGGTGGCTTTCAACTTCCAGATGTTGTTCATCTCCTGCGGGCCGCCCTTGCTCCCCTTTTGCGGACCTTCATTTGCATTGATGCCCTGGATCAATGTCCGGAGGAGGCTTTGCCCGGACTCCTAAGCTCATTGCGTGCCGTTTCTCAAGGGTTGCCGGGCGTCCGGTTGTTCGTTACTGGGAGACCCTATATTCAGGGTGCGCTGGAGAAATATTTTCCGGGGAGTGCGCAAGTTATCCCTATCAGCCTGACCAGGGAGGATGTAAGGGAACATCTCACGAAAGCATTGGGGGAGGATTCGACAACCGAGGCAATGAACCCTGCGCTCGAGGCCGAGATTATGAGACTTATTCCGGAAAAATGTTCAGATTCGTATGTGATCGCCATTTTCACACCAAACGCTTGGAGGAGTCACTGACAATGTTCCTAGATTTCTGCTTGTTTCTCTGAGCATGGCTGCGATATTAGGAGAAACAACTATCGACAAGAGGCGGGAAAAGCTCGAGGTGATGACAAGCGGTGGTCACGGTTTGGACAACGCCTATCGTGAGACGTTGGATATGATAAGGAATAAAGGTGACGGTCAATCGAAACTCGCCATGGATGCTTTGATGTGGGTCTCTCGATCGGAGCGAGCAATGACGACCGAAGAGCTATGCGTCGCCCTTAGCATGGAAGTTGGCTCAAAAGATATCAATTTTCAGAACACCCCTGCCATAAAAACATTGCTGGACTCTTGCCTGGGACTTGTCACTGTGGATGAGGAATCCGTGGTCCGCTTGGTGCATCTCACTCTCCAGGAATACCTCAAGAACCATTCCGAACACTTCGAGAACTCTTACTCAACAATGGCGGAAGTTTGCCTGACATATCTTAACCATGATTCCATCAGAAAACTTTCGCCTACTCTCAACCACGCCCCCAGAGAGGCCTCCTTCCTCCAATACGCCTCCAGTCACTGGGGACCCTTTGCAAGGAGTGGAATGACAGAAGGCGTGAAATTACTCACGCTTCGGCTTCTTGATGGGTTCGATAGACATATATCAGCCAGGCTTCTATTTTACCGGGAGGGTTTTGGGTCGTATGAAAACCCTAAGGGCTTCACTGGGCTGCACTGTGCTGCATACTTGGGACTTGGAGATATTGCCACCTCGTTGTTGGAGGCGGAGGGTCGTGATGCGTCTACGGCGGATTCCTTCAGCCGCACCCCACTGCTATGGGCAGCCGAGAGGGGGCATGGGGGAATGGTGGCGCTGCTCCTGAGCCGGAGCGAGGTCAACCCCGGCTCGTCCAACAAGCGTGGCCAAACACCGCTGCTATTGGCTGCTCAGAATGGGCATGAGGAGATAGTGAGGCTGCTGCTGGCCCGGAGCGAGGTCAACCCCGACTCACCGCACGTGGATGGCCATACACCGCTGCTATTGGCTGCCCAGAATGGACATGAGGAAATAGTGAAACTGCTCCTGGCCAGGAACGAGGTCAACCCCACCTCATCGAACAAGTTAGGCCATACACCGCTGCTGTTGGCTGCCCAGAGTGGACGCGAGGGAATAGTGAAGCTTCTCCTGGCCCGGAACGAGGTCAACCCCGGCTCATCGGATGAGAATGGCCAAACACCTTTGCTGTTAGCTTCCCAGAATGGACACGGGGAAATAGTGAAGCTGTTCCTGGCCCGGTGCGAGGTCAGCCCCGAATCACCGGACAAGTCAGGCCTTACACCGCTGCTATTGGCTTCCCAGTATGGATATGAGGGAATAGTGAGGCTACTCCTAGCTCTGAGCGAGGTCAACCCCGGCACTGCCAACAAGCGTGGCCAAACGCCCCTGCTATTGGCTTCCCAGAATGGGCATGAGGAAATAGTGAGGCTGCTGCTTGCCCGGAGCGAGGTCAACCCCGACTCACCACATATAGATGGCCATACACCACTGCTATTAGCTGCCCAGAATGGACATGAGGAAATAGTGAAGCTTCTCCTGGCTCGGAGCGAGGTCAACCCCGGCTCATCGCACAAGTCAGGCCATACACCACTGCTATTGGCTGCCCAGAATGGACGCGAGGGAATAGTGAAGATTCTCCTGACCCGGAGCGAGGTCAACCCCGGCTCATCGGATGAGAATGGCCAAACGCCTCTGTTGTTAGCCGCCCAGAATGGACATGAGGGAATAGTGAAGCTTCTTCTAGCCCGGAGCGAAGTCAACCCCAGCACATCGAACAAGTTAGGCCTTACACCGCTTCTATTAGCTGCCGAGAATGGACGTGAGGGAATAGTGAAGCTTCTCCTGGCCCGGAGCGAAGTCAACCCCGGCTCATCGGATGAAAATGGCCGAGCCCAGAATGGGTTAGTCACGCTGCTACTGGGCCGGAGCAAGGCCAACCGCAGCTCATTGAGCAGGTCAGGCCAAACGCCGCTGCTCTTGGCTGCCCAGAATGGACATGAGGAAATAGTGAAGCTGCTGCTGGCCCGGAGCGAGGTCAACCCCGACTCACCGCATGTTAATGGCCACACACCGCTACTATTGGCCGCCCAGAATGGGCATGAGGAAATAGTGAAGCTGCTACTGGGCCGGAGCGTGGTCAACCCCAGCTCACCAAACAAGTATGACCAAACACCGCTACTATTGGCTGCCCAGAATGGACGTGAGGGAATAGTAAAGCTTCTCCTGGCCCGGAGCGAGGTCAACCCCAACTTACCGAACAAGTTAGGTCATACACCCCTGCTCTTGGCCGCCCATAATGGGCATGAGGAAGTAGTGAAGCTGCTACTGGCCCGGAGCGAGGTCAACCCCGGCTCATCGCATAAGTCAGTCCATACACCGCTGCTATTAGCTGCCCAGAATGGGCATGAGGGAGTAGTGAAGCTTCTCCTGGCTCGGATCGAGGTCAACCCCGGCCCGCTGGAAGTGAGTGGCCACACACCACTACTGTTCGCTGCCCAGAATTGGCTAGCCAAGCTGCTGCGGACCCGGAGCGAGGACAACCCCAACTCAGTACCTGTAGATGGCTACACACCACTGCTATTGGCTGCCCAGAATGGGCATGAGGAAACAGTAAAAGTGCTGCTGTCCCGGAGCAAGGTCAACCCCGGCTTATCCAACAAGTATGGTTATACACCGCTGCTGTTGGCTGCCCAGCATGGGCATAAGGAAGTAGTGAAGCTGCTGCTGGCCCAAGGCGAGGTCAACCCCGACTCATCGCATGTAGATGGCCACACACCGCTGATATTGGCTGCCCGCAATGGACATGAGGAAATAGTGAAGCTACTGCTGGCCCGGAGCGAGGTCAACCCCGACTCACGGCATGTGGATGGCCATACACCGCTAATATTGGCCGCCCAGAATGGACATGAGGAAATAGTGAGGCTACTGCTGGCCCGGAGCGAGGTCGACCCCGGCTCATCCAACAAGTATGGCTACTCGCCCCTGCTATTGGCCGCCCAGAATGGACATGATGAAATAGTGAGGCTGCTACTGGCCCGGAGCGAAGTCAACCCCGGCTCATTCAACGAACATGGCTATTCGCCCCTGCTATTGGCCGCCCAGAATGGACATGAGGAAATAGTGAAGCTGCTACTGGCCCGGAGCGAAGTCAACCCCGGTTCGCCCAACAAGTATGGCTATACACCCCTACTATTGGCCGCCCAGAATGGACATGAGGAAATAGTGAAGCTGCTACTAGCCCGGAGCGAGGTCAACCCCAAGTCATCGGATCAGTATGGCTCCACACCGGTCCTGTTGGCTGAAAAGAATGGGTATCCTGGAATAGTAAAGCTGCTCCAAGGCCATGCAAACCCTCACCCTCATGATTCCCGAACGCCCCTAATTCCCCCCATAGCCGGCACTGCTGCCATATTAATGGCCGCCGTAGTTATCGTCTGGTCTTTGCTCTACTGTGAAATCCCTCCCCCTTTCCAACACTATTTATCACCCTTCACGCTGCCCCTATGGTCTCGATTTGTTTTGGCAATGTTGGTTGTCTGGCTGGCTTGGTCCCTCACCTCGCGCCGCGCTGTTCAGTACCCGCTCCCATCACAGGGGTGACGGATACTGATTGACTTGAATTGTTTATTTCCCCTCACTGCAACCCTAGTTATATATAGCATGGCTTTAGTGCGAAAGTTGAAGCTGTCGGTGTGGGTGGTGCTCATTGTCACGTGCCATACCTCAGGATTTGGTGATGTTTTGGCGCCTTGAGTAGGTTTGCTTGAGTGTAGTTTTATATTGTACGCATCGTCGACTTTTTGCTTTTCTTCTCTGCTTTGGGTTTTTTTTTGTTTTTCGGACTGCCACTTCCTTTGGTTCTACTTGTGCTTGTAGGTGATGTTTTATCGGTCGTGTAAAGTTCTGGGAGTACTATACCGGTGATGTTTCCTCTCTTCTAGTGTGATGAATATTTCTATATGGGATGGCGGTTTCAATAAACTTTAGTATCGAGATTTCTTCTACCATGGTATCATACAAAGGGCGAGATCATATGCAGGATGGTGACTAGCAATTACCACTTAGAGAGTGAGGGCTAGAGACAAACTCCACCCATATATAAACCACGTACCCCCTCAATCCTACAACTTACTCCCACCCCCCTTCTCCTTCCCCAACCACCCAAACTCCAACTTCTCCCCAACCCCGGAAGCAGCAATAACATTAACCACGCTCGGCCCATCCCTATGATCCCACGCCTCCCGCACAGCCTCGACCAATCCTTCCTCATCCACAACCCTCCACCCCCTGCCACCCAGCCCCCTAGCAACAACATCATACCCAGTCTCGAAACCCAGCGCGGTACTCGTGAGGAGAACATCTCGCCTCTTCCCCTCCTTATCCCCGTCCCACCAGTCCGCACCCCACGTGGGCGTGTTGTCGGATATGCCGTGGTACACGCCCCCGTTATTCATGACGAAAATGATGATGGGGAGGCGGTAGCGGGACATGGTTTCGATTTCCGGGAGGGAGAAACCGAGGGCGCTGTCGCCTTCTAGGGATATAATCCTTTTTCTGATAGATGGGGTGGAGGGAACGGCTTCGTGGGTGTAGTTATAGGCCATTTCAGCGGCTATGGCGTATCCAAGGCCTACGCCCATTGTTGCGTAGGTGCCTGCGTCCAGGCGCTGGCGGGGTTGTGACACGGTAAAGATGCTGCGGGAGATGTCCATTGTGTTGGCGCCTTCAGAGACGTAGACTAGGTTCTCGGCGCCGCCCGGGGATAATGATTCCAGGGTTGACTTGATGAGGGCGAAGGTGCGATGGTATGTTAGTGGGTTTGTTGGGGTCGAGGCTTTCACCCGGGCTATGGCTAGGTTTTTAGCAGCGGAGGTGGAGAGTGCGTTGCTCCAGGAGGAGGAGACATGGTGGTAGTTCGAGAGTTGGGTTTTCAGCTGTGCGATTACGGAAGCTATGTCCCCGTGGATTGAGAGTGTGGGATCGGCTGTGCCGTGGTCGAGCTCTTCGGGGGAGATATCGATCTGGGCTATACGTACCCCCGCGGACCATTTTGGCGGCTCACCAAAGTGCAGGATCCAGTTTAGCCGGGCGCCGACGAGGAGGACAACGTCTGCGCCTGCAAGGGCGGCGGAGCGGGCCGAGGAGGTGTTAAGTGGGTGATCATCTGGGAGGACGCCTTTCCCTTGAGGGGTTGGGAGGAAGGGGATTTTGGCCCTGTCGTCTTCATTAGCCCCATAAGTCCTTCGATAGACAGATAGATGGTGGGAGGTGGTAAATCCTTACGCATCGATAAACTCCCTCAACACCCCCTCGGCCCTCGCGTACGCCGCTCCCTTCCCGATGACAACCAACGGTCTCTCCGCCCCCTTCAACGCTTCTGCGACTGCCGTTACCCTCCGTTCGTCGCCAGGAACCCGAGGCTGCTCCCCCACCCGTTGAATCCGCACAACCTCCCTCGGCACACCCTGGATATAGTCCGCCGGCAAATCCACAAACCCAACCCCCGGTCTCCCGTAGAAAGCGAGTCGGTACGCATCCCAGATCGCCTGCGGCAGGCCCTCCAAGCTCGGTGGCCGAACGGCAAATTTCGTGTGCGGCGCTAGCAGCGATACCGCGTCCAGCTGCTGAAACGCACCCTTTGTGGGCCCCGCGCTGGTTTCCGCGCTTCCGGCGAGGAGCAGGAGTGGGTATGTCGCGTTCGCCATGGAATTCCCGACCTGCCGGCTTATCAATTAGTTCTCCGCCGCCCGTTGTAGACTCTTAGGCGGGAAAATGGGCGGCTCACACCAGCCATGGCGTGCAACACACCTGGCCCACCGACAACAAGACAAACTCCCGGTCGGCCGGTCAAGTATCCGTACGCGCTTGCCGCGTACGAAGCTGCTTGCTCGTTCCTGAAGGAAACGAACTTGATTCCCAGGGCTAGACAGGCTTCCGCCACTTCGATGACTGGGATGCCGACTATGCCGAAGATTATTCGCACATCGAGGGATCTTAGCGAGTGAGCGATCAGTTGCGCGCCCGTTTCTACCGGTGGGGATTGGTGGGACATTGTTCCTCGTTTGTTTGTTCCTTCCCCGTGGGGTGCGGGTGCGTGGGTTGTGGTGATGAGGCGAGGTTGGACCTTGTGTTGTGGGTGTGGGTGAGAGTACTGTAGAGTAACGGTAACATTGTGTTGTTGTTCTGGAATGACGAAATGGGCTGTGTGAAGCGCCAGCCGCAGATGTGCGCTCGGGTAAAATCGGAAGCCCCCATCTGTTGGACTAGGTGTGGTTCTAGCTAGATATGGAAACATGAAAATTGTATCATTGGTAGGGCAGCTGCGGATTACGGTAGCAATAATATTATCATAAAGTAGTGGGAGTAATGAGGAAAACGTGCACACGGACTTTAGAGCCGGAGTATCCCCGGACGGGTTCTGAATGAACTGAAGAGGATATATTCCTCATACCGAGACTCCAGCTTGGTTGGTGCAGCGATGTTCTGGTAATGGTGAGGTTTCCAGAGGACAAAGAAATAGACACCCTGCATACGGTAGCGTTTGCTTAAGCCCCGACGGTAGAATCTCAGATATCCATGAATACTCTATTCTATGCGCAACAAGATCACAGCAATCAAATCAAATCAAATCCTTCTACGGTAAGCCCCCTCCATCGCGGTTATCTGAACTGTGCAGTACTCCTCACGCCTGTTGAGCCTGTCAAGCTGTGCGGTGCGGCCCCGAGTTCGGGACATGTATGGAGAGCCTCAGCGATAGGCAGCGTCAATGAACCAGGCCAGCAAACGACGATTCGTGGATAATAGCGGTAATAGGGTTCAAATAAATTGCCGTTTGCTCCTTACCGTGCTCCAAAGCTCCCTTTATGCACTATGAATTGGGGCACCATTTACTGTAATCTGCTCTCGTTGACACAAGTTCACACAGGCGGGTGTGGGCTTATTCTCACAAAATCCAGCTCTCAGCGAAGCCTTGATCATAGTAGGCCTTCACTCCACTATGAGATCATTACATTGCGAGAAATGGGGCTCAAGTAGGCCCCAGTGGTGAAGCCCCAGATCGTGCTGTCACTCAGACCATGGGTGTGAGGCCTTGATTCGCGAGAGATAGCCTCCACTGTCTATCAGGCAAAGGGCACGCGTTCGCAGAGCCTAGCCACAAAACACGAGAAGGAGGAGAAGGGAAAAAACCCTTTGCCCCACCTCCTGAAATTATTTACGCCCCAATTCACTTGTCTTCCTCCTCCCTTCCTTCCCTTGGTTTCGTTGGACACATCCACCTCCACCCCCACCCCTCTCTACCATCCCTCTCTACCATCCTTGACTGAGTTCATATACTCCGCTCCTTTAGAAAGTCTATTATCCATTTATTATATAACCGCTCCACCAATTCGCACACGCACACTCTCTCACTCAGTGTATGAAATCCCATTCTGAAAGACCCTATCGTATTGCGATACAATTTCTAACTTCAAAAAAAAAACCCCCCCGAAGGACAAACAGATTTATCATGTCTAGCAGGGTCATAGTTCGTCCGGACCACGAGGGGCTTTTTCAGGAGCGCCCACTCTACTGCCCAATCTACGAATGTAGGTCCTTCATCCCTCAAGCTCGCATCGACTCTCGCGGCGTGGGGACCTGCATGAGATGCTCCGCTCAATCCTGCTGCTTCTGCGGGAAGTTGGGAGTGCACGCCAATCACCTCAACTGCCCCGTCGTCATCCATATGATGGAGGCGCAATCTCCCGACGGGGAGCTTGCGGACCTCTACCGAGCAATGATTGGGCGCCGCGGGTGGGCCGGCGTTCAGGGCTCGGCTTACGGAAACGAGCACGCAGGTGGCGCTTTCCCCAGGCCCATTCCCACTAGGTTGGAGGGTGGGGCTGCGAGCGCTGCCGATGCTACGATTAATCGTGCGGTGGGACATGCTCGCGGTCTTGTCGGTAGTCTTTCTCTCTTGGCGAATCAGCTTGTGAGTGTCTCGCCGTCATCATAACCACCCACAATACAAAACTGACGACGCTTAACCCGGGGGCACAGGCAGAACTCGACCACGACCAAACCACCGGGCTACTCAACCGCCCCATGCCCGACCCGTATAGAGTCCTCTCCTCCACCCGAGGCAACCACTCCGCACCAATAATCGAGATTCCCATCTCCTCCACAACCCCTGCCGGTCCAGTCTCGGGTTCCGGCCTTCCCATCCAAGCAGGGGGTCCCGTCCTTTCTATCCGGGCAGGGGGTTCCGGCCTTCCCATCCAAGCAGGGGGTCCCGTCCTTTCCATCCAGGGAGGGGGTTCCCCCGCCCCGGTCCCCGCACCTACCTCCCTCACCACCGCGGTCACTGCCAATGTCGACCATGGGCGCTCGAGACCTAGACCCTCGGATAGCCTTCGTCGCCAGATGCCGGACCTGGATCAGATCGAGATTCAGAGGAATAGGCAGCGCTTCGCCTTGTTGAGGAGGGTGAGGCAGAGGGAGTACCATCGTGTTGTTGGATCAGGCTCCACCTTCTCCTAAGTGCTTGGCTTCGGACATCCATTGGATGGAGGAGTATGCAAAGGGAAAAAACTTTCGGGAGAAAAAGTCTAGGTGATAGAAAGCAGTGTACAAGTGTTTCATTCTCCTGCTCAATTTTTTTTTCCAACCCCCCCCCCACCCACTTTCTTGCTCCTTCCTTTTCTCTGTAGCTACCTATTCTTCAAACTGTTAGACAAACGGGGTGCACAACTACTCCATCAATTATGACCCTTTTCGTTGTTCCTGTCTTCCCTTAGTTATCCCTTCTGTATTAACTGGCTTTAGCCAACATAGCACGGACAGCTTTGCTTAGTAATTATGTTTGAATTTTTCTCCTCTCATTCAGTTAGTTGGTCCATTGGTCGCTGCAAGATACTGCGGTTGACATTAACTGAGTGAGAGCTCTGCCACCCGAG